CTTTTTAATCAAAAATTTAAATTCCAAGACTTGAGGGCAAGTAGAAACTTTTGAAAACACAAAGGATCAAATAGCAAATAATTTAAATTAAACAAGTAATTTAATTATTATCTAAATTTGACCTGAAATCAATTTCTTGCAAGATAAGTTACCCAATTAATACAAATAATCAGACTTTAATCAAATAAGGAAGTTATTATCTAACCAATTGGTAATTATCTTTTGTTTAATTAAGGATACACTCAAAGTATGATCAAAATTCGAATTTTAATGACCCAAAACGGTTAAGGCAAGTATCCATGACCAAAACAACAAGAAATCCTGAAACTGCCTCATTCTGACGCTCGAACTTGCCGAGTTCCTCTATGGACTCGCTGAGTAGGAGCCAGCTCGCCGAGTCCGCATTGGAACTTGCTGAGTTCAGAATGCAGGGCGGCCAAAAAATCGATTTTACATCTTGAACAAACATGCAAGGAATCAATACAATAGAAACCAATGAAGGCTCTGATTCCACTGATGGGTTTTGGCCATAAGAACATCCTATGTGCTCATACAAACCCTAATGCTTGGATCTAGGTTTCTCTATTGTACATGCAATTCATCCAAGACTATAAACCCTAGATCTAGTAAATGATAATCAATATAACATATGAATTAGGGTTTAGATTATACCTTGATTGTTATGTAGCAATAAAAATCTCAAATCCTCCTTGTGAAGACTTTAGGAAGCTTAGAGTCACAAATGTCACTCCTCTAATGACTCACAAACACCAAGAGCAAGAGGACGAAGAATAAGGAGAGAGGAGACACCCAAAAACGTGTAGAAACCCTAGAGAACCAGTTTACCACGTTTTTGGGGCTTAAGGGTCCTTTAAATAGTGAGGCTATTAGGGTTATCTAACAAGGAAACCCTAATTTGGATGCTTAGGCCCTAAGCAACCCATGGACTCCCTCCTTTGAGGCCTTGGACGATTTCTAATGGTTTTTTCCCATAGAATTCGTCCACTCCTCTAATATATCATCCATTAGCCCAATGTTCAACTATCATACAATTGATAGTTTTAGTCCCTTAAGTTTAATTAATGTCTTTTAGCCACAAACTTAATTCTTATTAATTCTTGACTAAGATTAATTGAACAATATGATTTCTCCTTTAATATATTATTCTCATAATATATTAATAAATCATAATTAATCCTTTCTCTCCATAATTCATCCTATCAAGTTTCTTTGATGAAGGCAACCCAAAACGACCATGCACCATCGGGTCAAGTACATACCAAAATAGTTATGGACTTAGACACTAATCCAATAATAACCCTAACACATTGACTAGGTACTTATAGAGTTAACACTAATGGTTCTTTTTGAAATGTAAGTATATCTTCCAGAAAGTTCTATATTTTATGATGTAATGAAATGTAAGTTCTGTTGTCTCGTTCTTGTAAAGTAATGTAATACAATTGTGTTTGTAATGCAACCCTTTTTGTGTGCCTGTACTTTGTCATACGTTCTTTCAGAAAAGTATGTTTCGTACTAGAAAATAGCGCATTGTACTTGTATATATTTACCTGACCTATACTCATTTCTACCTATGATTACTTAGTGTATATAGGTCATATATAACCAAGATTGAATGGATAGTAAACTGTGTGAATCTGCTCTAAGCCCACAAAAAAACAAGGAACAGGAAATGAAGCGGAAATCACCCATCCTACTACCTATTGGACCCTATAAATATAAATTACCTTTAACGCATAAACTAAGGAATCATAGTGTTAAAATTTAGGTCCCTTCCGATTTGTATGTTCATGTTACTTGTAATACTGTGTGGTCTTATTATTAGAATAAAACCTATGAAGTAGTGTTAATCCCGTAAACATTGTTTAGTTGATACTATTGTGAGTTTCATACAACCATGTTAAACGACTAGTGACCTCCACGATGTTTTTCAGGCTTCAGAATGTTATGACGTTTGTCACCCCAGGCCTACCAGCCTAGCTGTTGCAAGCAGCTCAGGTGCGGGATTATTAGTCCCGTATAGATCTATACACAAACTCATGTTGTCCCTCTAGAAGACTCTAGTTATAATTTGTAGGATTTGAACCTGTACCCTGGTGGGTACCCTGAAATAGTGCCTCACAACCCTGTATTAACTAGTTTACGTGTAGTGTTATAGTGTTCTATTGTATTTGAAACTATTTGTATTATCATGTAGTAGTGTACTTTGTAATAAAAAATAATTATGCTTAAATAATTATTTACTTATGTAACCATGATCTTAGTAAAATATAGTAGTGTTCCTATATCGTTTCTTGAACCTTGAAAAATAGTGTAGTGATGCACAAACTATACCTAATATAGTTTAAATGCATAGTTGCAAATATCGGCCTGGGCGGCCGATTAATCGGCACCTAGGCTCTTAACGGTCCTCTACCATCGATGTTTATAGCTAATCAGAGTATATAATTGGATGTGGTCAAAGTCGGGTCTAGGCGGTCAACGAAGTCAACGTAATTTTAAAAAATTCAAGCGCAAAATTATCAAATGTAACAAATGATTCTAGGGTTTAATCTGTTTTCTCATTTGATGCAGTCAAAAAAACGACATTCTCTCTGCCTCTTTGGACAAAAACGACAAATGAGAACAATAAATGGAAATCGACGCAACTTCTTCTTCAATTCACCTTCGACTTTAACTCTCACCATCTCCGTTTCACACTATCGGCTTTAGCTCCGCCCTCCGGTTCGTTATTTCCTTCAAGCCATTACATCGCAGCCCCCTTCCAAGCTTCAGTTCACGGTTTCAGCTCCTCCCGTCACGAAGTTTCTCAGATCACGATTCCAGTTCACGAAGTTTCTTGGTTCCGAAATCAACTCTTCTTCTTAATTCAGCTCCTCTCATCGATACTAATTGAATCATCCAGCAAAGGTTAGTTTTTATGTTTTTAGTACTCTGTGACAGCTTCTTCTGTTCACAGCAAGCAATTTATCAAGTCTCAATTTATTAATTGACCATGGGTTAAGTCTCAATGGTATACATCATACATGATTTATGTGAGTTTGATTTATGGAGATTAGGAAGAAGAAGGTGAAATCGATTTGAGATTAGGAAAACTAGAAAGCTATCTAATGATATCACATATCAATGGTATAGATCTGTTAACAGTTCTTATATGAAATTTGTTAAGAAATTGAACATTTGTTAAGAAATTTGATAAGAAATTAAACATTTGTTAAAGCTGTTTAACAGGAAATTTGTTAAGAAATATGGTATCCTGTTAATTGTTTATTGTAGTTGTTTAACATGAAATTTGTGAAGTAGTTTTTTTTTTTTTTGAAATCTGTTAAATATAATTATGTTGTGCATATGTTGACTTGAAATCTATTAAATACAAATATGTCAAGTAGTTTTTTTTTTAAATTTATTAAATATGAATATGTTGTGCATTTGTTGAAAACTTGGAATCTGTTAAACATAAATCTGTTAAGTATTTCTTTTAGAACTTTAGCATTAAGGCATTAACATGAATATGTTAAATATGAATATTAAGTTGTTTGGTTGATTGATAATCATTTTCTCAAGCATTTATATTATATTTTTTTAAGGTGTTAATTTTTTTAATGTGTTAATGGGATGATTTAACATGTGGCAATCAACGACTTCGAATGCTTCGACTACACCGTCTGTAGGATCAACCTCCACCGATACACATAAACGGAATTCAGATGATATTGGTTGGGAATATGGTTTTATCCCGGATAAAAGCAAATTGGATAGATTAAAATATAAATTGTGTGGAAAAGTGTTTGGCGGAGGGATTACTAGAATGAAACAAAATATTACTCATGTGAAGGGGAATGTATCTTCATGTCCAAGTTCTACAAAAGATGATCAATTGAAATGTTGAAATTCTATTAATGAAGGGAAGTTAATAAAGAAAGCTAAACATTCGCAAGATGAAGCCTTAAGATTTGAGGTAAGACAAGAATTTCATGATAGCGTGGATGGAGTTGAATCTTCTTTAGGGTTGAAAGCACCAAATGTTATAGGCCCCATGGATGGCTACGCAAACAAAATAAACCCCAAAGAAGATTTTAATGCGAGAAAGGGAACAAATGTTGATCTTAGCAATATTGTCCGGAAAGAAAGAATACTCACGGTCCATAAATACATTAGTAGGTGGGCATATGAAAGCGCAATTCCTTTTATGCCTTTGAAAGGGATAGCTTCAAAATAATGTTGGAGGTTGTTGGCCAATTTGGAACCGGGCTTCCACCTCCTACTAGATATGCTTTGAGTGACACACTTCTAAATCATGAGGTTGAAAGAACAAAAAACTTGTTGAAAAAAAACTAACAAGAATGGAAAGAGGATGGATGCTCGATTGTGACGGATGTCTGGTCTGATCGAAAGAGAAGAAGCCTAATGAATTTATGTGTTATTTCAAAGATGAGTACTGTTTTTTTATCTTCAAAAGAATGTTCCAACGAAGCACATACAAGCCAAAAAATATATGAATATATGGAGTCTTGCATTCAACAAGTTGGTTATGAGCATGTTGTTCAAGTTATGACCAATAATGCCACGAATAACATGGGGCGGCAAAATTGTTAAAAGAGAAAACGTCATCTATTTATTGGACATCATGTGCGACACATACCATTAACCTTATGCTCAAATGTACTTACATTATTTTGTTTATTTATTGTATTTATTACTTTATTACTTTATTTTGTTTTAAAATGTTTAATTTTATACTATAATTTGTTATTTAATCGTGTTTATTTCTTCAAGGTATTGGTGCACTCCCAAGGTTTAAGAAAATTCTAGATCAAGCAAAGAAGCTAACCATCTTCATTTACGCTCACCACAAAACCTTGGCAATGATGAGAAGTTACACAAACAAAAGAGAAATTATCTGACCGGGAGTCACGAGATTTGCTTCTGCCTTTCTAACATTACAAAGTTTAGCGGAAAAAAAGGAGCAACTAAGACATATGTTCTCTAGCACCAAATGGGAGGAATGTAAATTTTCTAGTACACCTAAAGGGATTGCCTCATATAAAACAGTGTCAAGTGTCCAATTTTGGTCCGGTGTGGGACAATGTTTAAAGGTGTTCTCCCCTTTGGTGAAAGTCCTTCGAATGGTTGATGCGGATTGGAAGCCCTCAATGGGTTTTGTTTATGAGGAGATTAATGTTGCTAAAGAAGAAATTATCACATCATTGGTCGGTAATGAGAAAGCTTACAAGCCTATTATAGATATCATAAACAAAAAGATGAAAGGTCGTCTAGATTCAAGTTTACATTTAACATATTATCTTTTGAATCCATATTATCATTATAAGGATCCACAACTCCAATATGATCCTGATATAATGAATGCGGTTCTTGATTTTTTTGATAAATTACCTTGTGACAATTTTGAGATGCAAAGGCAAGTTGTAGCAATTGACTTGCCAAAGACAAGAAAAAAGTTGATAGATTTGGTTGTGATCTTGGAATTCAAAAAAATGAAATATAATAACTTATATATTAAGCACATTTCGATTCTTTGTTGTGTTCACATTTCTAGGTACATACAAAAAAACGAAATAGATTGTAGGCAATCAAATTGAACAATCTTGTATATGTTCAATTCAAAGCTAATTTAATGGAAAAAAACCAAAAGCGAAAAGATGGAAATATGGAGGTGTTGTTAACAAATGATTCACTCTTGGCTAAAGAATGGATTGTTGATGTAGATGAGTTAGACCCCGAAACAGTTAATGAAGATCTAGGAACCAATGATAATCAAGCACCCCGAGAAAGTCCAAGAAGGAGGGAACTTTCCGATGAAAATTTTGAGTCCGAGTGTGAGGAGGAAATGTTAGAAGAAGACAAATATGAGTCGGATGGGGTTCAAATAATGGAAGTGTGTGGAGAAGATTAGAAGATAATATGTTTTATTTTTGTGCTATTTAAACTTATTATGAACTTGTTGGATGATGATTTGGTGTGTTTGTTGAACTTATTATTAACTTTTTATGTTTGTTTTGGTCTTTTGGATGATAATTTATTGTGTTTAATAAACTTTTATGCCTATTTACTTATATTATTATGATTAAATTTAGATTTATTAATTTTTGAACTATTTTCTTAATAATTAATGGTCTCCGATTAATCCCCCGATTAATCCCCGCCTAGCCGATTAATCCCTTGACCCTAGTCCATCGTCGAACTACCATCAAGCGATTTTTGCAACATTGTTTAAATGTAAGCTTTGTAATGAACTGGAAACCTTTGCAATTTAACAGAGTATAAGACTGTAGTAAGAGATTTGTGAAAAATACCCTTTTGGTCGACATGTTACAAAAGGGTTCTAAATTTAACGAATAATATTATATATATATATATATATATATATATATATATATATATATATATATATATATATATAAGAATGGAAAGACAGTCGAATAAATAATTCTATCCTGAACCCACAACCAGACAAGGAACAAGATTCAGGACGAAATCATCAATTATAAGTCTGTTAAACCTTATTTATATTTATAAATATATAAAAATACAATTTGATAAATATAAATACTAAAACAGTTTGAAACAATTGCAAACGGTTTTGAAATAGTTTAGACACATGAGTCAATGCGTTTTACTTGTATCCCCCCCCCCCCCCCCGGCTCTAAAAACGTTATAAAATAGTGAAAACGTAGGGGTATGAAGTCACCTCTAGTGCGTGTGCTTGATCGGACTTGAAGTGATTGATAATGATCCTCGGGTTAGAATACGTCATAGTAGTCATATGTTAAAAATAGTTATACCCGACGTCATATTTAAATTAATAAGATAATTTAAATAATAATTTAAAGTGTTAGACAACACTAAATTATGTATTAAATACTTATGAAATCTATTAGGAATTATTTGGAGTTGTTCTTGGTGTTCTTGGATGGAATATGAATATTTGAAGATGTGCTTGGTGTTCTTGAGAGAAACTTGAAGATATGAAGGATAATATGAATGTTCTTGAGGGACTTATGAAGACTTGAAGATTCTCGACAAAATCCTATGAGCTTATGGTGTTCACGGATGATATATAGGATCGGGTTTACGGTCAACATGGGCCAAGGCAATTGGGTTTTCGGTTTTACCATTTGGGTTTTCGCCCCAAATGGGCCTTGGGGTTGTGTTTTCGGATCTAGGCAAACTGAAAACACCCTTTCGGTGTCATTTCCAATCCGTAAACCCCTTTGATCTTGATTCCAAATCCGAAAAGACCATTTTGAATAATATCCGATCCGTAAACCCTTTTTCCCCTTAATTACTTAGGGTGAAAACACATATATGAGGGTTATTTATGGTTTAAACCATTAATCTTTTAACTTATGTTCATTTATACTACCGTAAATTAGCTTAGGTTTCAATACATACATAGTTACTAGTTTATAAACAAGACCTAAAGGCTATAGAGGATACAATGCAACTAGTTTATAAACAAGACCTAAAGGCTATAGAGGATACAATGCAACAAGAATTAAAATGTGGTTTCACTTGTACTAGGTTAGGGTTTAGGCTATGTTGGGTCTAAAATTTCCTAGTGGTGACACCTTTCTATCCACTCATATGGAATCCATACTAGCATGCAATTCTAAAGCTCATATAACCAGACATAAAAAGGCATCTCTCCTATCATATAATACTAAGTAGATCCTTAGCTTTAATCTAGCATGCAATTCTCATAATTTATATTTTATGTAAATGTTTATTTTATAAAAAGTTTCACCAAACCCTTAGTTTGAGTCCAAGCACACCCTAGAGTATACCCGAATCCCTCAAACCAAGGCTCTGATACCAACTTGTAACATCTTGGAAAACAAGGGTAAATATTTCATTTTTAATACAAAAATTCCAACATCCATTTACATTTATCCAAGGATCATGTAACGTCCGTAGATCCGGGCTAGTCAATTTAGAGGTAATAGGGGTCGAAAATGACTTTTCGACAAATAATTATTTAGAATAACTAATTTTAACCAAGTTGTAGAATATATCACAAGGTTTCCGTACATATAAAGAGCGTCGAAATCGGAGTTATAACGAAGAAGTTATGACCCGTCGATGTTTCGCGACGGAACCGACAGGGCACTGGGAAGCGTAAATAGTGATTTTACGATGGAGGACTTTCTAGCCTTAGTGATGTAAACGAAAGTTGTATAATATGTTAAACCGAGAAAATCCATAAAAAGAACGCCCAAATCTTACTTCGTATGAAGAAATTAAGATTTTTCTAAGATTCGGCTTAGCAGTGCACGACCCCAAACTCGAATTTTAGTTCGAGCGGTTTTTGGCTTACATGATTTAAATGAGAGTTGAATATCTCATTAATAGGAACTTAATAGAAAAAAGACAGACGAAAACAGAGTCCGTATGAAGGAGTTACAAATTCTTCGCGGTCATTTAACAGTCTAAACGCCTTGTATTGTTAAATTTAAGATCGGTCGAGAATTAGCCAATAGAGTCAAAATGAAAGTTGTAGATATTATTTTTACCTACGCGTGGATATAAAGAGCATCAAAAATGGAGGTTGTATGTGAAAGTTACGGAGTTTAGAAGTCGGAAGTGTGCTGTGCAAAAATGGGTGATGTGGCACAATCTTGGTCATTGCTTTCTCCCCAAGTCTTGCCACTAGATGGTGACATGTGGCACCAAGTTCAACCATTTTCACCCTATAAATAGAACCTCTTCTACCCTCATTTTCTTCACACCTTTCTCATTCTTTCTTCTCTTTACTCTCTCTAGAACCTCTCTCTAGCCCTGAAACCCCCCGAAAAGCCTAGGGAACCTCCCTAGCACAACGCGGAAGCCCCTGAGTGCTCGACGCTCCGAGAAGAAGAGCTTTTCCGCATGGGAATGCTGCTCCAAGCAAATCCTGGTTTTCTATGAAACCCGTTGTAACTGAGCTACACCTACGCTATTTTTAATATAGTTTTTATTTAATTATATTAATGTTATTAAGAACATATAATAAGTAATTGGGCTCTTATTATGGGTTATATAAGTATTATTTAACGGTTATATAATAGTAGTAATAGCTATACTATTAATTAGTCTAGGTGAATAATAGACTAAACTTTAATGGTAATAATACTAGGTTTCGTCGAATGATATTATTTTTTTCAAGAAGTGAAGCGCTGTCTGAGTTCGGAATCACCACCTTTTCAAGTGAGTGCATAGTTACTTTCATCTTACACATAGATATGAAGTATTTTATATAAACTACGTGCTATGTGTGCATATTATCTGTAGACTTGCTGTCAATGTTGGATGAACGTTTTTATACATGTTCTAGATGATTTAAACTGTATACGTATTTTATATACACGAATATCTTGGGTATGATACGGGTAGATGAATGATGAGAGATAAAAGATGATGTGAGTATACATTGGTAGCTATAGACTTAGTGCCTAACTAATAAACATCGGCAGCTATGGACTTAGTGCCTATTGGACAAACACCGGTAGCTATGGATTTAGTACCTGTTAAGGTATTGCTAGCTATGGACTTAGTACCTATTAGATAAACACTAGTAACTATGGATTTAGTACCCGATGAATAGACTATAGCAGCTATGGAATTAGTGCTTTATGAACGAACATTGGCAACTATGGATTTAGTGCCAGTCCTATAACCCTGGAAGTAAGGGACTTCGGAATAGACGGATGCAGAATAGATGACTATTAGGATAAATCCTTAAGAGTAAAAAAGATAATGGGGATGGGTAATTGGGTTGATTGTTTGATTGTTTAAACATAATAATTATATTATTGTGGGTTGAAAACCCTATGTACTCACCAGGTTTCCCAACCTGACCCAATCAGTTTATTTATATCACAGGTGTTGATATGAAGTCACATTACACTGAGAGATTAAAGAGACGTAGATCACTAGTGTAAATAAATGTAAGTTCTATTTATGCTTATGTTCTTGTATTGACGATGACATCCTAAATGTTTTAAAATGAATAAAATACGTTTCTTTGAAAATGTTTTAATAACGTATTTATCGTGTTTTTCTGGGAACGAATTCCGCAACATTTTTATTAAAAGAAAAACTCTGATTTTTATAAAGCATAAACAAAATCGGTCTTTTCTGGCTGTGAAAATGGGGATGTCACAGTTGGTATCAGAGCATTAGTTTAAGTGAACTAGGAATATGGATTTATTTCTAGACTTAAACATAGAATGCTAAGCGATGATTGTGAGGTGTCAGCACTAGCTTAATTTAGGAATGATGCCTAAATTGCTTTTATGTGCTAAATGATTTGTTATGCTATAGTTTGATCGGATCTATGGTCTGTTGCCGACCGGATCTGGAAACCTTATGTGTTTAGGATTCTAAACGTATGAATACGATATTAGAACTAGCATATAAACGTTTCGGAGTGATAAGGATGATTTAAGCATCAATCCTAAATAAAGATCTAGATTCACCTTATTCGGTGTATAGATCAAGATGGCAAGGACCCGTAGTGGAAATGTAAACGCAAATGGAAATAGGAACCAACCCCCTCAACCCCAGTGGTTCAGCAAATACATGTTGTAGAAGAAGTTGCACCAGAGCCAGTCACCATGGCTGGAGTTCAAGCCATGATTCGGGCTATGCTAGCTGAACAAAGGGAAGAAATGAGACAGATGTTCCACAAAAATAGGGACGAACCTACCATACATGTTGAGCCGACCGAGCCAATTCCCGAACAATTTGAGGAAGGGAATTACAGCCGCCAAGCAAGTCAAGTGGGGACTCAAGGCAAACGAAGGGAAGGCCCGAAGGGGAGAAACAACAAGGATGGGCGAATGTACAAGAATTTACTGGGTGCGAAACCACCGAGTCTCTCAGGAAGCCCGAAGCCGGTTAAGATTATGGATTGGA